ATCACAGACAGCAGACTCAGCTGGTTCCTTCGTGTGAGGCCTTTTGTGTGCCGTGACACCTGAAACGGGGCTGTGCAAATGTACTAAACACTGGCGGTTGGGCCCACCTCTGGGAGAGGGTCTGGAGTGCTCAACAAGCGGGAATTGGGGGCCAGCCTGACTCAAGTGGCTAGAGACCCCCAGCCACGGCCACTGTACCCTGTTTCCTGGTGGAAAAAGCTGGGTTTCAGGCACCTGGGGCAGCTCGGGAGGAAGCCCTGCAGGAACAAGGTATAGAGGCTGCAGATGCAAAGGCTCGCGGGGGCATCGCCATCAGGCCACGTTTGAGACGAGGACTACAGTGACGTCCTGGGTCGCTCTGGGTCCATGTTCACCTGAGGGCCAGCATGCATCCAGGCATCCTGCAGGAGATGAGGGCAGGTGCCAGAGCTGCCCGGCCGTGTGGCCTCTGATGGGTCACTTCCCACCTCTCTGAGCCTCCAGGCTGATGCTACAGTCCCTCCCCAGGCCTGTCCACCTCCTAATTCTGTGGAAGAAGAGGGGGAGCCAGGGCCTGCTTTGGGGTGCAGGGCAGGATGACGATGGCGTGGAGGGCAGACAGACTGGGTCCAGATCCCAGCTCTGCCCCTCACCAGTTGCGTGTTCTCAGGGGGTGCTGAGCTCCGTTTCCTCCTCTGTAGAATGGGGGCCTGGATTAGTTATCTGTGTAGCAAGTTGCTCCAGAACCTAGCGGCTTCAGACATCAGTAATCGTGTACTGTCTCTCACAGTCTCCGTGGATCAGGAGCTCAGGAGCCACTTAGCTCGGCTGTTCTGCTCTGTGTCTCTCATGAGGCTGCAGCAAGATGCTGGTGGTGGCTGCAGTCATCCAGAGGCTTGACTGGGGCTGGGGGACCTGCTTCCAAGAAGGCTCACATGGTGGCTGGCAGGAGGCCTCGGTTCGCCTCCACGTGGGCCTCCCCGTGGGCTGCTTCAGTGACCCGACAGGCAGCTGCTTCCCCAGAGCAAGAGATTCAGGAGAGAATGGTGGGGGTGGGGGAGCCACAGAGCCTCCCATGGCCCAGGCCTGGAAGTCACACTCCACTTCCACAGCATGGATCACGCGGGCCAGCCCCAGGTGGAGCAAAAGGGCGTGTATACCAGGAGGTGAGAATCATGAGGTCGGGGACAGATCTCAGAGGGCACCTGCCCAATGCCACAACTTGTCTGCTTCCTCATCTGTAAAATGGGACTACCTCCCACCTCTCAGAGCTGCCAGGGGCTTCCAAACAAGAGGCCTCGAGGAAAGCTGTGGGCTCGGAGCCTAGCACGTACTCAGCGCTCACCAAAGGGCAGCTTCTGTGTTACGGCCCCACCTTCAGCTCCAACAAACGCTGAAGGGACCAACCTACCCTGGCTGGGCCCTGCTGACCAGTCGGGGGCCAGACGGGCCCCTTCTTTCAATGAATGGGAACTAGTAACAGGCATTGCTCTTTTTTTCCCCTTCTTCTTCTTCTTAAGGTTTTAAACACCTAATTTATTCCATCCATTAGATAGATTTTGTAGATTTAATCATTTTCACAGTTGGTGGCTCATTGGATACTCAAGATAAACTCCAAATGAAAGTATAATGGTGAGGACAAATGAGTTTTCACACCACAATGGCAGAAACTTGCTTGGGAAGAGAGTTTAAGGGGAACAAAAATACATACAGATATAATTTTTTTCCCCCAGCAGCCGCTTTTGCTGACTATAGTAGGTTACCACAGTTAATTTCACCAGTTTTGTTCATCTGTAAAATTGCATAAAAGTGACATTTTTGTGCTCATTATAGCAACTGCTGATTTATGGCTGGTAAATGAAGAGCTGGTCCCTTTTTTGCGGGACTCTCCGAGCGGCGCTAAGTGCCCATGAAATTGCTTGTATAATGTAGTTTAAATCCAATCTCGGAGAAAGATTCCCCCGTTGGCCAAAGTGACATTTCCATTCTCCACACCGAGTTTATTTTAGGCCACTTAGGAGGGGGGCTGCCCCAGGCAGGGTCAGGATGGGGGCCAGGGGTCGGCTGCGGCTGCCTGGCCCAGCTTGGGCCATGGGGATGGAGGAGCACCGCTCCAGCCTCCTTGGGGCACCAGATGCTGCTGACCTCTTCCCTCCCTGCTGCCTCATCCAGGTCAGACCACATCCCTGCACCTCCGGGCAGGCAGGAGTGCTCCTCCTAACACGCCAGCCTGCCCTGCTCCTCGCCTGCTTAAAGCTTTCCACGGCTGCCAATGCCGGAGCCAAGGCTCCTGTCGCAGCACTGCTAGCACCTGGGGCTGGTGGACAGTTCTCTGTGGGGTCTTCGTCCTGGGCATGTAGGAGATTGAGCCGCACCCTGACCCCTACGCACTAGATGCCAGTAGTACCCTCTCCCCAAGTTACACGGCCAAACTGGGCTCCAGACATCGCCAGTGTGCCCCAGGGGGCAGGGCCATTGAGAACCTCTGCCCGTGGGGAAGAGGCCCTGCTCTGGGCCTTGGCCCCCCTGCGCTACGGGTCATAGCCCTCTCTCCCCAGCCTGCCTGCTCTGGGCTCCTGCTCTTATTTTGGTTTGTTTACAGTTCCCACCTGGGACAGGCTTCCTCCTCTCTGGACCTTTGCTCGCACAGTTTCTTCTGCCCAAAATGTGTCTCCCTCCTCCTCACCCCTTTCGCCGCGACCTTAGCAGGGATCCTCTTTCCTCCAGAGAGCTGTCTCTGAAGCCCCGTGGGGTGAGGCTCCCCCATGTCCCCACACTGCCTGCACCCCTCTCCCCTTCACAGCACAGGCTTTGCTCAGATTGGCTGTGAGCCCACGAGGGGATGGGGGTGAGGCTCGGGAAGGAAGGGATGCGGTGTGTGGCCTTCCGATTAGTGGGAGGCCTGAGGAAGGCAGGGGGGTCCACACTGTCCCAGCCACAATGCCAGGCCCACCTGTGCATGAGCCCTGCCCGCTCCTCTCCCAGGAAGACCCTTGTGCTGGGCAGACGGGGAGGGTCTTAATATACTTAGACCCCTTCTGCTACGGCTCCACCACATGACTTGTTAGACTCTCCCAGCACCCCTGGGGGGGGTGTTAGCAGCAGCATAACCCCATTTTGCAGATGAGGAAACTGAGGCTCAGAGTAGTGAGGCCCCCGCCCCCAAAGTTCCTAAGGAGTCACTGCTGGGTGCTGGGGTGCCTACAAGGTGGGGAGGAAGGCAGTGCACCATGAGACCTGGGAGGGTCCTCCTTGCCTAAAGAAAGGTCCAGCCCGGCCACAATCTCCCAGCACCTTTTGTGCACCTCAGCCCCTGCTGGGCCCCCAGGCCACCCTGCAGACCTGGCACAGTCATTATCCCCATTCCACAGGCGGGGAAACTGAGGCTCAGCCCCGCCAACAACTCGCCCAGGGCCACACAGCCCCACAGTTGGGCAGGACTCCACCCAGGCTGCTGCTCCAGAGCTCAGGCTCTTTCCATCTGCCTCATGCAAGCCCCCTGCTCCCCTCCCTGAAACCCTACCCCTGCCCCAGAGTCGGTCCCGAGCAGCACTGAGGACTATCTGTCTCAGGACCAGAGAGGGGCTTTGGATGGGAGAAGGGGGTCTACCCACCAGTGACCTGCCTCCCCTATGGCAGGGGCCAGCTTGCCCGCTGACAGTGGGGACAGTCAACCTGTCACACAAAGTGCACCATTCAGCTGACATGCTGACGGCTCACAAAACAGGCAGCAGCCGCCACGCTGGTCTTGCAGGTGATAGACTCAGGGAGAGGATGGGCAGCCAGCAGGGACAGGATCCCCCTTCTCAGTTGCCTGCTGGCTGAACGAGGGACTGTGAGGCCAGGATGAAGGCCGACAGCAGCAACCGCCCCCCCCACGCCGTGCCAGGCCCATGCTGGGCTCTGTCCACAGAGCACTCACTGAACCGTCCACAGGGTCACGGGCCATCATCACTCCATTTCACAGATGAGGAGAGGGAGGCACCGAGAGGACAAGGGAAAGGGGGCAGGAAGGAACACCCCACCCAGCGTGGTGGTGCGGGGGAAGGCGGCACCACGCAGGCAGGAGCCCTGGAACTCCCGTGCCCTGCGGGAGGGGGGGGAGTGTAGCCCGCAGTCTCTTTGGCAAACTGTTGCCCATTTTCTCCTGAAGCTGAACGTTCTCTCCTCCCGTGTCCCAGCAATTCCACTCCCGGGCGTATTCCCAGCAGGCAGGACTCGCTGAATATGTTCCTCAGGGGTCACAGCAGTGTTTGCATCAGCCCCAAACCAGAAATGGCCCAAATGCCATCGACAGTAGGAAGGACAAGTAAATTGCGATACAGTCACACTCGAACACCACGCAGAGATGAAACAGAGCAGGTGCCGCCCCCACAGCCCCCCGGGAGACTCTCGAAATGTAACCTTAAGTGGGGGAGACCCCACGGTGCAAATGAGCACGTCCTGCAGGATTCCAGCTCACCCATGCTAAGGCCAGGCTTACCAGTCCACACTGGCAGAATTCGGGGTGAGGGGAGGGTATAGCTCGAGTGGCAAAAGCACATGATTAGCATGCAGGAGGTCCTGAGTTCAGTCCCCAGTACCTCCTCTATAAATAAATAAACCTAATTACTGCACCCCCTCTGCCAAAAAAAGAAGTCAGGAGGGCCATTCACTTGGTGTGGTTAGGGACTGCGAGGGGGCCTAACCCGCCCGAGGCGCCTGCCCCGCCACCCGGCCTGCCTACGGCCGCCGCCACTGCCACCCTCCGGGGCCTGGCACTGGCCCTCCCTTGACTGAGGTGTTATATGAGTATGCTTGTGAGAATGCACCATGCTTGTGATGTGTGCAGTTTCCTTTTGTGCTTTTACACTTTGATCCAAAGCTTAAAAATTTAGGAGTGATTGAAGGAGCACGTGACTGGATGGAGAAAACAGGCAGGGAGGGGCGGCTGGTGAGTCCTTCCGGGGAGCAGTGCAGGGCGTGGCTCGGGGCCTCCCCGGGTCGCAGGGTCAGCTCTCACCTGTGCTTCGTCCCCGCAGGCGAGACGGCGGCCAGCTCCATGCATTCCTCCCGCTACCCGAGCCCGGCCGAGCTGGACGCCTACGCCGAGAAGGTGGCCAACAGCCCGCTCTCCATCAAGATCTTCCCCACCAACATCCGCGTGCCCCAGCACAAGCACCTCGGCCGCACCGTCAACGGCTATGACACCAGCGGCCAGCGCTACAGCCCCTACCCGCAGCACACGGCCGGCTACCAGGGCCTGCTGGCCATCGTCAAGGCCGCCGTCTCCTCCTCCAGCGTAGCCGCTCCCACCGGGCCCGCCAAAAGCGTGCTCAAGAGCGCCGAGGGCAAGCGGACCAAGCTGTCGCCGGCCACCGTGCAGGTGGGCATCGCGCCCTACCCAGCGCCCAGCACTCTGGGGCCCTTGGCCTACCCGAAGCC